AGCGGAAGGCACATAGGTAGCTTCATGGCAAATGATTGCTTCACTCAGCACTATTTGGTTTTTGTTTGGTTGGTTTGGTTTGTTGTTTGTGTTTTGGTTTTTTGTTTTTGTTTTTGTTTTTTTTGAGACAGGGTTTCTCTGTGTAGCCTTGGCTGTTCTGGAACTCACCCTGTAGACCAGGCTGACCTCAAACTCATAAAGATCTCCCTGGCTCTTCCTCCCAAGTACTGAGATTAAAGATGTGCACCAGTACGGCCCAGCTCAGCACTATTTGTGATAAGTAATAAGAAATGGGACACATGCCAAGGTCTGTGAAAAGAAGCATTTTTCTTTATCAGCTTTGACTTACCAGGGAACAGCAGCTGCCAGCTCAGAGCTTACTCTCCTCCCGAAATGGGGCCCACTAATGTCACTTCAGCCTTTAAAGGACATGACCAGGATCAGGGCCAGGACCGACCCTTCCATCCAACTACAGGGGTGCACAGGTAGCACACAGAACATACCACATCCCTTCTCCATCCTTTCACATGTCAGTTCTGGACCCATATGCTCAAGTGCAGCTGTTAGCATACTCCACAGAGTTCTCCAAAGAGCCATTGGTCCCACAGACTTGCCCATTTCCCTAGATTCGCCCTTAGAGTGAGCAGCGGCTCACTGTTCATGCTATGAGGTGCTGAGGACCACACCAGCCCTGCTTTCTCACTAACGGGGAGGGGTCGAAGTTCTCCAGGCCGTAGACAAGCTGTGTTTCCTTCTGAGTCTTTGTAGAGATGGCTTTACATATCTGACTCATGCTGGGGTCTATAAAAATGACATTTCTCGGGGGCTGGAGAGATGGCTCAGTGGTTAAGAGAGCTGTGTGCTCTTCCAAAGGACCCAGGTTCAATTCCCAGCGCCCCACACGGCAACTCACAACTGTCTGTAATGCCAATGCCAAGGGATCTGACACCTTCACACTAATGCACATAAAATAAAATTAGATAATTTTTTTAAACTGAGATTTCTCTGCTCTCATCTGCAACAATACCCAGAGAGCTCCACGCCTATTTGCTAATTCATTGTTTCTTTACAGATGCAAGGGTGTTTAAGAGTTTACTCTACAGACAACCAAGGCAGAGGGACTGTGACTCTTCTGTCTCTTCAGTGTCATTTATCAACCAGGCAAGATAGACAAGTCCAGGCCCCATGAGAAACACAGGTTTCCCTGGAAACCACAACTCTCTGAGGTATTTCCAATCTTTTGGGAAATTTCCATAAGATTCTCTGAGTCTCAATCAATGAGGCTGCAGGAAAACCTGCTCCTTGAGAGAAGCTGAGCACACGCCACCATTCAGTGATCGTAGTTCTTTTCCAAATGCCATGTACCCAACCCTTGGTCGTAGGGACTTGCCCATTTCCCTAGATTCGCCCTTACAGAGAGTAGTGGAGTCACTGTTCACGCTATGAGGAGCTGAGGACGAGACAGCCCTGTTTTCTCATTAACAGGGATCAGAATACCTCACAGTGTGCACTGGAATAGCCAAGATTGTGAGGATTTACAAAAGCCTGTGTATTTTCCTCATTGGAAGACACTCAGAGACCAGACCTTAGTACTCCAAGCGACCCCTATCCTGTGTGCCTCAGATGAGGACCAGGCCTGTACCTATTCCTCAAATGAGCTGCCCACCCCCAATTTCCAGGGCTCTTACCAGCCTCAGAGCTAAAAGCAAGTAATGAGATGAGAATGAACTGCAAGGCAGCCTAGGTACCATTCTACTGGGGAAACAGTCCTCTCTGGTCCCAAAGCACCCAAAGATCCTTGAACAAGGCCCTGATCCTAATTCTGGCTTTTTCTGTGAAATGGGAGATGACACTGGCTGGACAGCTTCTGGCAACAGCTCTGGGGGCTCCCTACAGGGATACCTGGCCACTATGGACAGAGGGACCTTGGTGGTCAGCCCAAACAGCTGAGCCACGGGTAAGCCCAGAACCCACAGCATAAACCCCTCATGACTTCATTACCCATTTAGTTATTTCAAATGCCATTTCTTTCTAGCTGTCCACTAGATGTTGGAAGGATCTACACTCTACATTCTCAGCTCTCAGATCTAAGGTAGACCACCCCTTAGCTTACACACACACACACAAAAAAAAAAAAAAAAAAAAAAAACTTTTCAGCCTCAGTTTCCCCATCATGCTCCTCTGGCCTGCAGGCAGAAAGGCTAGTGTGTGGCAGGGACATCCTCACCCCGCAATCTTTCCCTATGTCCCTGAGCTACTTGGAGCTCTAAGGACCCCATAATACTCCCACCTCTGCCCAGATTTGTCTTTGCTGAGGCCCACCCTTGGTGTGTGTGGGGGGGAGCTGGGCAGTTCACAATGACCCCCAGGCTGAATGCAGATGTTTCTGAAAACATCTCTCACAAGCAGGCCATAGTGGCATCACTTTGTAAAAGGCAAACTGCAGAGCCTCATGGCCAGTGAGTCTGATTGACCTTGCCCACCACGGTCCAAAAACAAGGGTGGCCACTTCCCTCCTGACTCTGGGCGGTGGCTGACCACAGAGATACAGCAGGGCTGGCCAAGAGACTGGTACAACTGGACCTCTCACAAACCAGGCTTTGATGGCCAAAGGCAGAAGGAAAGTGGCCCAGGAAAACTCAGCACTGCTTAGGTGCGGGGCTCACGACTATGAGCCTGGCCTCTGTTCTCCACTAGATACCTAGCCCCAGGAGAAGCTTCATCTTCCTTGCTAACTGGTGAACAAACCAAACACTGCCTAACACACAGCATGGCCCAGTCCACGCAAGGACTGGCCATGTACCCAGGAATCTCAGGCCAACTGGACTTCCTAAATCAGATAAGTGTCAGGGTGGAAGATTCCATGCCTGGAGACTGGGGGCATGGGTCATGAGCAAGAAAGGCAGTCAGGATGTGTCAGCTTTCACAATGGAATTAATAGGCACTCTAGAAGATATCAGTTGGTCTTCACAAAGTCCGGGCAGCTGGGAGTGGCTGTCACCACCTTACTGATGAAAAAGTAAGGCTACCAGGGGTTCTAAGAGTAGACACTTGTGTCTGGCCCTGAGTTAGCAACCAGAGACTCGGCTCTTCTTCAGTGCGTTCCCTCCTGCTCCCATCCCGAGGCATCTCCCTGCAAGCCCCAGCCACAAAGCGAAGAAGCCAAAGGGTCTGTGGCAGGCTGAAATAGGATGGTACACTTCAGGGGCGAGGGTTGCTCTATGATGGACTGGGACTGACTTGAGGATATATAGGTGGGGAGAGGACACCGATCCTATAAAGCGAGGGCCTCCCACACTGGACTCTTGAGCTCTGGAGACTGGTACTTTTGGGAAACAGGGTGCAGGCAGCGTAAAGAGAGAGGCTAACAAGTCAGACTCAAGGACAGGAGAGGGTCCCATAGAGGCTACAGACCCAAAAAAAAGAATCCTAGATAATGCTGCCAGTCTGGGTAGCCACACTCAGCTCTGTGGACACAGGAGTCCATCCTGCCTGTGTCCCAGGAGTCACCCGGGGCCAGGACCATGACTGGGTATCTACAGCCAACCATAGTAGAAACCCTTGGGCCCCAAGACAGGCAAAGAGGGGGTGGTTACAGCAGAAGCACCATGGGCCCTTCATGGGAGTAAAGAGAAACATAGGACCCTGGGCAGGAGAAAATAAATTCACCTCTCTGGAGAGTTGGGGGCTGACACCACAGGCTGCTCCCCTTGGCCAGGCTGACTGGTGAAACCTGTGCCTTGGGGAATCTCAGGACTATCCATAGGGTCCCCCCACCCACCCACACACACACAGTTTGTGGCTACCCCTAGGAAATCATTCTGCAGGCAGCCTGGAATTTCTGTCTATGGACCTTCCCTTGCCTCCAAACCTATCCACGTCACAGGCAGAATACTTCCAGACACACATCGGCCCACTCACGGGACGCATACCCTGTCAAGGCCAGGACAGGTGGACACCTTGATAAAGACTTCCTGAGCACGGGTCTCACTCCTAACCCCAAATGCTCATACAAAATGGCCGAGTCTCAGTGCTCCTCCTCTGTCCCTGGTTCCACTGAAATAGGAGAGCCAGCGTCCTTGCACTGGGAGGTTATGCATACCAACACGCACGCACACACACACACTCCTGTACATGAACACAGAGTTCAACCCTTGCCAGCTCTGCCCCAGGAGGAGTCTCAGACTTGGGGACAGGCCCAAAGCTGGCAGCGCTGGGGGACAACAGCGGTCCTCGCTGCTGGTCTCCACTCAGACATCTAAAGCCCAGAATGTGTAGAGAGACCATCAGCCGGTGCAAATGGGCTGCTTGGAGTGTAGGGAAGAAGGAGAGTAGGCCTCTAGGGATGGGTGCAGGCAGCTACCCTCAGCCAAGGGCTGAGGTGATGTGATCTTAGGTCCCCTCCCCAGTCCTGCAACCCGGAAGCTCAGATAGGTAGCAAGAGGTTAGGAGGATGGCTGAGAAGAGGCCAGCCTTCTTCACGATCCCTGCTTGGTTGTCGGAGAGACCCCACAGGGGTGCAGAGGGGCGAATGAGTTCAGACCTAGAGCCAAGCCGCCCTCCCTCCTAGCTGGCCCTTTGTTCCGCGCTGCGGGCTGTGGGGAGGGGCCTCTCGGGATGAGGGGGGCTGGGGCGCCAGTACATCCCGTCCTGCGGGGGAAGGGCTGGTACGGCCCAGCTAGGCGGCCGCAAACGGACCCCCTCCCAAAACCAAACAATCAAAAAAAAAAAAAAAAAAAAAAAAAAAAAAAAAAAAAAAAAAAAAAACCGGTCCCTGACTCCAGAACGATCTCCCAAAGTCACTCTCCAATCTCCGTCCTTTGCTCTAACCAGAGACTGCAGTGCCACGACCCAAACCCCACGCCCACGACGCGCACCAGGCGCGCGCGCGGACACGCACACCAGGGTCCCCCAGTTCACCGCAGCTGCGCCTGCCATCAGCCCGCGGCCCGGAGAGGGTCCCTCCAGGCCCACGGCGCACCGCACCGCCGGCCACTTACACGTAGGCGTGGTAGATGAACGCCCAGCCGCGGGGCCTCTCCAGCACGTTGTAGAGGAAATTCTGCAGCTTGCGGTAGAAGGCGTTTCGCTTCGGGGGCTTCCCGGCTCCCGCGCCGCCCGCCCGCGGTTTGCTCAAGACGCTTCCGCGCTTGGGGGCCTCGGAGCCCGCGATGAGCAGCGCGCCGTCGCGCGTGGAGTCGGGCGCGCCGGGGTCCAGCCCCACGAAGCCCACCTTGAGCTTCTTCTCCCCGCTGGTGCCGGGGTACACGCCACCGTTGCGCGACTTCTGCACCATGGTGCCTGCGGCGCCCGGGCGGGCGCGGGCTCAGCGGGGGCGGCGCGCGGGGGGTGGCGCGGGCCCCAGCCCAGGCCTCCGGTCCGGCAGCCGCATGGCCAGGGCGGCTGCGGCGATGCGTTCCTACCTGGCCCGGCCGCGCGCGGGGACGCTGCGGCCACCCGGCTCCGCGCGCGCCTCGGTGCCTGGCCGGCTACGGCGAGGGCTCCTCCCGCCGCCCCGCCCCGCCCGCCTTAACCCCTGCGACGCCGTGGTGGCGGCAGCCCTTCCAGGTGTACACCGCCTCTCCTGGCAACCCTTCCCACCCTCCTAAGCCTGGGGATCCTTGACAGGGAGTCCGTCCCTGCTGTCACCCCCAGAAGGGCAAAACTACGCAAGCCAGCCCTGTGACCCGGCTCCAGCTCTCCGAGGGAATCCCAGCGTGGGATCAGAGTTGGCCTGGAGTCTGGAAATGGACAGCTTTGGGAGAGGAGGATACTAGCTAGCCATTGTCAAGATCTGGGCTAAAGGTCAGCCCAGCGGGCTCTGAGCTCTTAACATCAAGTGACCGGGCACCGGAGCTTTCTCTCTCCACTGGGAATGCAGGAAAGTGCGTACAGCCTCTCCAGGGGTAACCAGACCAATGCCTAGTAAAGAATCCTTGTCCCCTACCAGGCTTACCCAACTGGACCTGGTTAAGGGAAGAAGCACTAGCTTGGCCCATCCAGACAGAGGAGGCCTTGAGGTACAAGAGGAGCAAAGGGCTGCCCGCTCCCTGTGCAGGCTGGCTTTACCATCACCGCTGGATCATCTTCCATTTGAGTCTCTGTGAAAGAACTATATAAATCAGGCTGCAGAGATGACTCAGTAGTTAAAAGCACCGACTGCCCTAACAAAGGCCGTGGGTTTGGTTCCCAGCAGCCACCTGACAGTTAACGCCTCTAACTCCAGTACCAGGGGATTTAACGCCCTCTTGTGGCCTCCTTGGGAACTACAAATGTTGTACTCATGCATCTATGCAGGCAAAACAAATCCATACACATAACGTAAAAATAAATTTTAAGATAGTATTTTAAAATAACTTAGATAGGTGACTATATCTTATGGCAACTGGGAAGGGCCTGGCCTATCTCACCCATCCTCCTGAGACACCAGTTTCTCTGATTAGAAGTCAGAGTCCTAACCAGGTGGTGGTGACACAAGCCTTTAATCCCAGCACTTGGGAGGCAGAGACAGGTACACCTCTGTGAGTTCATAGCCAGCCTGGTCGGTCTATAGAGAGAGTTCCAGGACAGCCAGAAACCCTGTCCATGGAGGGGGGGAAGTCAGAGCCCTGAAGGACAAAAGGTCCTGGTTCCTAGGGAAGAAATGTGTTCCAAGAGGAGGACAAGGGGCAAGGTTGTCTAGACTACCATATCATCATCAGACACAGATTTGCTCATCTCTTTTTTATTTCGAGGGGGGATGGGGACACATCCTTGAAGTCGTTATGAGCCATTAGCTAGCCCCCACAAACTTCTTGGAATGAGACACACACACACACACACACACACACACACCACACTCACAATAGGAAAGCTCAGAGAGGAGCAAGCTTGGTGTGGAGATCTCGGCCTTCCCCCAGATCTCTCTTCTCTACCAATGTTGTTTGTACCAAAAGCTTTGCCACATTTCAGAAGGTTCTAGAAAGTAACTACCTCACCATGGCTTGTAACTCCCTGCTTTCTCTGCCTAGGATGCCTTCCCAGCAAGCTGGCTCATTAATCATTTATGTTTTTTTTAATACAATGCCTTTCGTACCTGTGGACCATGCACCGTCAGCAGCTCTGTTACCAGCATGCGGCTGGCCTCCCCAAGGAGGCTCAGGAAAGTGGGTCGTGAACACCCAGTCGGACAAGCAACAGGAATTTCGTTTTATTTAAAAGTAGATGGGGAAGCGTACAGGCTCAGGCTGTCTTTGCCAAGGCTGCATTAACAAGATTTCAGAGATAGGGGGTGGGGTGGAAAAATTCAGAGGCGCATGAGAACCAGCTCCAGCTGGGGAGAGCTCTGATCCAGGCTGCAGGTACAAGTAGCCAGCATCCTTCTGCCAGGCGCTGTCCGTTCAGCACCTCCTTCACGCCTTGCCTGCTCAGCCTGTTCCTCTCTTCTCCTGGGGCAGTAAGTCTGTAAGTGTGGCTCCCCTGTCCTGCTATTACTGAACTACATGAAGCGGGCAGAGATGCTGGACCATCAAAACACAGGATTGCATTGTCTCCTGCTATATCAAAGAGCAGTTTGAAGTTCTTGCCAATATCCGTTGCCCTTGAAGTCCTTCTTACTTCTTCCTATACAAATGACTGGGGACATGGCTTAGCGGTAAAGAGCTTGCTTTGCATGCATACGGTTCTGGGTTCCATCCCCAGCACCTTCATAAAATTAATGTATTTAGCCAGGCATAGTGGCTCACACATGTAATCCCAGCACTCAAGGGCAAAGAGAGGAGGAGTGTCAAGAGTTCACAGCTAGGAAGGCCTTATCTCAAAAAAAAAAAAAAAAAAAAAAAAAAAGCAATAAGGAGACTGGAAAGATGGCTCACCCATTAAGAACATGGGCTGCAGGTCACATCTGTCTGTAACTCCAATTGCAGGGAACCTGCTACCCTCAAACAGACATAAATGCAGGCAAAGCACCAATACACTTAAAAAAAAAAAAAAAAAGAGGCAGGCAATAAAACCTAAGAGACTACGGCCACATATTTTCTGCCTGGGCCTTCCTGAATTTGTATGTCCACTGTCCCAGAGCCTGCACAGGTGAAAGCTCTACAAGCCATGGTTATTGTGGCTCCTCGTGATGGAGGCCCACCAGCATATCACCTCTCTGGAGAGCTACACACAGCAATACAGGTCAGAGGAATCCCTGTGCTTTCTGGATGGAAACCTACCATTTTTCCCCCTCCAGCTGAGGTTGGGATTCTGGTCTCACAGATGTGAAACACAAGGAAAGCAAGTGGAAATGATGTTCGGCCTCCACGGTCTGTGCTGGCCAGACTGTCAGTAGCCTCCAGGGAAGCCGAGGAGAATATGAGCAGACTGTAGCCACCATCTGAAGCCCCTGCTGGGAAGCCCAGCTTTACACTTTCAGCACACCTGACTGTTACTCAGGAGCGTCCACACCCAGGAGTTTGGTCACCCTCATTCCAAGGGTCAGTGATCACAATCGGCAGTACGTGGAGATCTCTTCCAACAGAGATCTCCTTCCAAGGAAGACAGAGCAGCTGCTAAGGACCAGAAGGGGGAATGCTGCCAGCTGGGAAACAGACTCAATTTGGGGAAATGAGAAGAGACAGGTTCTCAGTCACTCTGGCTGGGCAGAGCTGTGGTTGTTTTAATCCTCTAATTTGGAAGACAGGAAGTGCCTACCCAGGCAGAAAGGCCCCCTCAAAGGAATTTTCCACTATTAAGAAGAAGGACTGTGTTGGTCTGGATCATGGAGAGCAATGAGGTGAGGGAAAGACAAGATGTGAAAGCACTGTTTTTGTTTTTTAATCTGACAGGAACACTTACCCGTTAAAGTCAATAGGAATTTAATTTATAGTGTTTTTTGTGTTTGATTTTTTTTTCTGCTTTGTTTTTAAGGACCAGAGCTCTCAGCAAGTTGCCCTAGCCCCTGGCAAACTGGCTAATTACATGAAGAACTGAACTTGTACTTCCCAGCCGCTGATAACTCTCTCACTGCAAGCCTTCCTACTGCAGTGACAAATAGAGATGGCCAGGGAATGGCGGCGGGCCTAGAAGTGTCCAAAGTGACCTCAAGACAAGATCTCCAGGCTTCTAGAAAGTTCTTTCTGCTCTCTTCTCTGACAGCCTTATGTCCTCGGGCCCCTCCTTCTTCATTTCTGGACCACAGTTTTGTAACTAACACTTATACCTCCCCCCCATCTCACACCCCAGACAAGTAAAGAAGCTGTGGCAATTGCCCCTGTTCCGTTACGGGTAAGAAGTGAGGAGAGCAGAGGCCCCTTGTCTCAATGAGAATGTGGTACAGGCTGCACTGTGGAGCAATCCAGGCTGCACTGCCAGGGCTCATTTGTGCTGAGTACTTCCCGGCTCATGGCCACCCATCTGTGACACCAGCCCAGCCACTCCCTCTCAGAATACCTCAACACTAGGACACTAGCCACGAACAGCACCCCAGTGCCTCGTACACAGTTTCATGGACTGTACCCTCAGCCTAGAGTGCTGTCCCGTTCCTGGTGGACACTGTGCCTCTGCTCAGGCAGGCCCTCAGATCAGATATCCCCATTCCACTGCACTCTCTCCCAACCCTAGTTCCTTGTCAGTATGAAACTATGACTCATTTGCCTACCACATGCTCATCTTCCCTGTGCGGTAAACTTGGCTCAGGGTCTTACGGCCCCTCACAGTCCACAGAAAGCACTCGGTCACCTTCACCGGTGAATGATCACTTTGGCCTAGGATTCATGTCACTCTGAGCCTCCAGCCACATGAACACTGGAGGGCAGCCCAGGAATTGCATGCTTAGACCCTTGGAGTGTATCCTGGGAGGTGTGGGTGGCTGGAGCTTTGTTCTCTAAAGATGCTCCTGCTGGCAGAGTGGTCAGCACCTTCCCACACACAGGCTATCTGCTGCTGCCTCCTGCCTACAGTCGTCTCAGGCTCACTAGAGTGCTTTGCTTGACCGGTAGGCTTGAATGGTGCTATCCAGGCTTGGAAGGGCCCCTGGGTCTTTGGAGCTTCTTCCCCAACTGATTATTACCCACAGACAAAGTTAGCAAATGACCCACAGGCAGATGACTTGGGAAGACTCAACAGGAACTCAACAGAAGCTTTAGCCTTTTCCTGAGAACACTGTGGCTACATCCCAGCATCCAGAGGTTCACCTTCCTCTGCTGCCAAAGCCAAGGCGGCACTAAGGCAGGGCCATACCTGCTACAGATGTGGCCCCTAAGGATCCTGTCGCTCTTTCAAGTTGGTTGACCTTGAGCAGTCCAAAGGCTAGAGTAAATCTGTTTGTGTCTCCCAGGCTGATTTGTTGAAATTCTGTCCCAAATGGATGGTGTATGTTCATGGCCTCTGGGGAAAAGCAAATGGTGAAGATGGAGGTCCATGCTCCAGTCCAAG